GGTGCTAGGGGGAAGGCCAACTCAATAGTATCGGAGTCGGCTGTGCAGCTTCCGAGCTCACTTCCTCCCTTGTCTTGTTTGCTGCTACTAGCAGGTGGATGGTGATTGAAAATGCTACACACATGGCTCATCTACTCCAACGAGTAACATTAAGGATTGGAAACTGTCGACGTGGTCATTGGGATCGGATTTCCCGTCGTACGTCTCCAGCGTGGGTGTCTTGAACCCTTTAGGCCTTGGGGCTGAGAGAATCTCCGGTGCTAGGGGGAAGGCCAACTCAATAGTTTCGGAGTCGGCTGTGCAGCTTCCGAGCTCACTTCCTCCCTTGTCTTGTTTGCTGCTACTAGCAGACTGCTCTTCACTGAATTTCAACATGCTCTGTGATGGCGTCACTTCCTCGTGACCTCGTTGTTGGTGCTGTTTACTTCTGTGTTGTTCGGCACTTCGATCCTTGTGTGCTCCTATTCTCGAACGTTGTCACGAGGCAGGGGCTGGTCTCTATTTCTAGAGTTCTCATGAATGCGAGTTGGCTACTGACTGTTGCGGGGAACCGAGGAGTCTTGATGTGAGTCTGCGCCTCTTACCCCGAGCTGCTGGTTGTTGACTTGATTCTCATGGCTCTCACGCTGCGAGTGCTATTATTGATCGGTCTTGGACTGGCGGCTATTTTGGGGCCGATCCTTTTGGTTTACCACTTGAGGAGGTGGTGGTGTGTGTTGACCTGCTGTTGGGTCCTGAGGTGGGGTCTGGCCCCAAGGAGGGTGTGGGACTCGAGATGTCCCTGCACCCCATGGGGGGGGGGGGGAGATCGGCGTACATTCTGTTGTTTGTTGGTTCTGACTCTGGTTCGGTTCTGGTTCTAGTTTTGGTTCGGCTGGAGTGGTGGGAACTGTTGTTGATAAAATTAATATTGTTGGTACTACTAGAACTGGTGAATCTACTGCATCTGGAGCTACATGACCCGAACGCTCTGCACTAGCTCATGGAACTGCTGTGCACCGACCCCGGGAGGAATCATAAAGGGCTCTACAACTGAAATAGGAGGGAAGGGAACGTTGAGGGGCTGCGTGCTGAATGCCTGGCTTTGTGTGGTCGGCACTCCTGAAATAGTAAGAGGGATGGCGAACTGTCTGATTGTCACCAAGGGGAATTTAGGGTTGTATGGAATCTACTCCTACCCCCAATAACAATCATCTCGACACTCTTTCCGGTGTTGCTTGATGATGCCATTAGTGAGATGCTAGAAGTGTGGTTGAGGTAGAAAACTTGACTTTTTTGTCGCGTTTCCCACAGACGATGCCAATTAACGGTGCGCGATCTGGTCGCTCCTAGCAGGATGGCAGCTCGGACGTTGGTTGCTTATCTGACGTCAAGCTGCAAGAAGAGAAAAGCTTAGAGGACCTGGGGTGGCTAACCCGGCGTGGTCGCTCTGATGCTTAAGTCAGTAACTAGTTGTATTGCGAGCTGAAAGCTTGTAAGTGTGGGAGCTAGTAAGCAAATAATTGTGCGTACCTGGGTCTCAAGGGTTGATGCCCTTATATAGATGGGCTGTCGTGGGTGTCACGAAACACCTTCGAGATCCTTTGCCCGTGCTGTTTGGAGTCTGCTCCGCCCTAGGGGTGGATAATGTGCTAGCCGATATGGCCTATCGTGTTCGTCCGATCCAGGCGGGATGAGGATAAGTCTTACGATTGTGTGGCGTGATCCCGAAGAGCTCGAAGACAGTTGGTATGCTTTTAGAAGTCTGATACGTGTCGCCTCAGTAAGCTAGGCAATCCCGAGCTACTCGGTCCTCGGTCATTGCCGAGGTGCTCGGTCCTCGGTCATTGCCGAGGTGCCCGAGACACCTGAGGTGGCTTGACCCACCGAGGTGGTAGATGGTGTTGAGATGGCAGTAAGCACTGAGTGATAATCTAGTTAGTTGGTCGTATCCTTGTGTCCTCTATTTACTAGGTCGGGCCAAATCACCCCTCATCAATACCCAAAAAAGACAAACAAAAACTCTCATATATGGGGTCAAAATTGATATTTGATATTTTTCAGAATTCAGAACAACATTTTCTACATTTAGAGTTTAGAGGAAAGAAAAGTTCACCAATACCAATATACCTCTTAATGTAATTATTGCACTTTCAAATATCAGGCTTCAGAGCAAATGAACAAGCCCTAAAACCTTAATAACATATTTTATGTTTTTTGAATACTTTACTCTTTTATCTCCTCTTTGTTATTTGCCACCCATAGCTTGCTACTCATAAAAAATCTATTATAAGTTTGTCATAACTCATAATAAACTATAGTAATTTCAAACACCTTTCTTGTTTCCTTTTTTTTGAATTTTGTACTTAAAGAACCAATAAAAACATCAACAAACAAATATTAATAAAACATATATGATTAATATATGTAGTGAAAGTTGAGTTAAGATATGAGATTAAGAAGTTTTATGAAATTTCATGGGAAGAATGTTGGGTTGGGTCCAACTCGAGATCAGCCCAACCAGAAGTTGGGGCTTGGGTTGGATTAGGGTTGAAGGAGTTTAGTTAGGGTTAGGGTTAGGGTTGGGGGTTTAGAACTTAGGATTGGGCTAGGATTGACTTCAACCCGACCTAACACGGCCCAACTTGTAGCACTAGCTCTAGATATTTTCTTGAAGCCATACAAGAATTTTTGTGGGAGGCACACATAATTTAGAAATTGGGGATTTTTAAACCTTGCGATTGCTTCAAAGAGTCTGGATCTTTTCCTCACATAGCGTGACACTACATGTCCTGACCGCACATTAGGAACATCTTTGGTACTTATATTTATTATTTAGGGATAAGTTGACTACAATCCACCTTATAAATCTGAAATTGCATCCCCCTCCTAGTCTACTAGTAGCCTCCTATTAACTGCATCATTCCTGTGAATTTGGCATCAATCCATGGGCAGGATTCATCTGACTTATATGGTGGGGGTCAGATTTCTAAGGTGAACTAGACTATAAAACCCCAATTATTTACGAAAAAGTACGGATAGGCCCACTACGAGTTTTGATTTCCATTGCAAATCTGTAATATTTCAAAATGTCAATTACCCCACCCCCACCCCCACCCAATGCCTCAATCTCCAGCCGAGCTGGCGTCTACCCAATTGTAATTTGGGCTTATGAATTCTGACTAGACTGAACAGTGTTTCCTCTTATTATGGGAGGAGATGTTCCGATGTGGCTGTGAGATCGGTGTGAGGCACACTCATGAGTAGCAGACCCCAATTCTGCTGCACTTGGACAACTTATTTGAGCTTACCGTGCAAAACAATGTTTTCACATTTAATTGGTGAATCGATTAGTTGGAAGTAGAGCGAAAGATTCACCAAAATCGACTCCCCGGGTTTGAGTGAAGCCACGTGCAACTAAAACATGCCTCTAACTGGTCCACATTGGCCTCTGGTTTGAGTTTGGTTTTTATAGATACACTTGGACACAATGATAGGTGTGGTGGTTTGGACTTTGGAGTTGATTCTTGTTTGCCACGTGCAACTAAAACATGTCTTTAACTGGACCCAATTCCTGGTATTGGTACTAACGTTCAAGTCTTATTATTAGGCAGTGTCTGGAGATCATTCATGGCGGTGATCCAATGAGAGGTTGTGCCTTGTGACAAGGCTGAACGCAATGTTGTAGCTTCACTGGAACGAGAGATTGCAAGAAGAGTGTTACCCTTCACAAAGAAATCCGGGGGATGGAGAGAAGGATTAAAGAGTGAACAATAATCTCTCTCTCCCTCAATTTTCCTACCAGACTATTTGTCTCTCGTCAATTTCGTAATGATAGGAAGCAGCGGAAGCGGAGGTGATGTCGAGGCCGGCTTCGCCAAGCTCCAAGGCGAAGACTTCGAATACTACATGCAGACCTATTCCATAATCCTTGGCCGGAACAGCAAGAAATCGACTGTCGACGTCGACCTCGCCAGCCTCGGCGGCGGTATGAACATCTCCCGCCACCACGCCCGCATCTTCTACGACTTCCAGCGGCGCCGCTTCGCCCTTGAAGTGGTTGGGAAGAATGGGTGCTTCGTCGAGGGCGTCCTCCATCTCCCCGGCAACCCTCCCGTCAAGCTTGACTCCCAAGACCTTCTCCAGATCGGCGACAAGAAGTTCTACTTCCTCCTTCCTGTCCGCAGCATCCTTGGAGGTTCTCTGCCCCGCCACATCCCTCACGCTCCGCCACCCTTTCCGTCGTCCGCTGCGCATCTGCCCCCTTCCCGGGTTGCGCTGCCTCCACCGCCGCTTTACTCTTCCAAGAAGGGGCGGGGTAGGGCGTCGAGTGGTTATTTGGACGATGATGACGACGACGACGACGATAACGCTGTTGGTGCTGGTGCTAGCAAGAAATTACGGAGAGAAGGGCATGAGATGTTTGGATACGGTGGATCGGGAGGAAAGACAGGGTCGTCTGGACAATTAGGTAAGTGATTTTTGTCTCTTCTTTTAGGAACTCTGTCACTGTTACTTGAATTATGTCCATTTTTCCGTTCTTCTATAGGAGGGGGAAAATTGGAAGATTTCCTTTGACACATACCCACTCACGTCTACTAGAATCTAGGTTTTTTTTTTTTTCTTTTTGTTTTGTTTTGTTTTATTTTTTTGATAATTTGATTGTTTCTTGCCTTCAGGAGCTTCTTACTTTTGAATACAAATGTTTTTGATATATATGGGATTATTGTTAATTTTGAAGAAGTGTCATGAGATAAGTTTTTTTTTTTTTTTTTTTTTCGCTCATCTATTTAGGGGTCTTAAGCTCGTTTTATGGCTTTGGTATGGCGTGTCCAATTTGCAGGAGTCTTTTTGCTCCATCATTGAAATGTGAAATGGAATTCTAGACAGCTGCTTAGGATTAGAAACCTGCAATTAGAGCAAGAAATCTTAATTGTTGTTCTGGTGGGAGTTTTACATGTAATCTAGCTGATGAGAGACAGGTAAAGGTCCAGGGGTCCTACAACTTTCAGATCTTGTGATTGGCTTTATAGGGTGGAGCAGTGGAGGAAGGTGATTTGGGTGATTAAAGTTAAGGATAAAGAATGGAGAAGAACTTAGTAGATGGTCTAATATCTACTAAAGAATGAGCATGAAACATAGTTATTAAAGCATCGCCCAGACAACAAGGTGCCCATACTTGGGTGCCTAGCCTAAACACTATGATTTATATAAAATAGGTGCCCACCCATTTGACAAGGCACCTACCTAGGCGACAAAAATCATAAGGTTGATGCCCTATTTCTATGGCTACTTCTTATTACTATGCACATTATTACATCTTATCATGTATTAATGTGTCAATGTTTTAAAACACGGAGGCTTGATATGAAGCGTTCCACTACTTGGAGGCGTGAGGCGTAGTTTAGAATGTGGGAGGCATATGCTTGAACATGTATTTGTTTTTTTTTGGCCAAATTTCTTAAAGCACCCCTAAGTTTTAGGAAATTTACTAACTCTACTCCTACTGTTTACATAGTCTTAAAGTACCCTTAAGTTTTCTGACAATTGACTAAATCCTCCATTGCCGTTAGTGTCCGTCAATGTTCCATCACAATCTGTGCACATGTGACACCACATGACGTATAGAATTTTTTAAATCCAATATTACCTTTTTGTGGTAAACTCTGCCCTCTATTATTCTTTAAATTTTCCGTATAAAACTTAACATCCTTGCTGCTCAATGATGGTTGTAACAGAGAAGAGAATAAGTCTAGACTCCTTAGAATCAACGATGTTGGCACATCCTTTCCCTTCCCTGTCGAGTCCAATATCATTGATTTTCTGACAAATAGAGATAACCTGAATTCAAGTTTTTTCTCTACAGAGCTTTTTCATCCTCTTTTAATCATGAAATCGCTTATGGAGAATGATAGAAAACTCTGCAACCTAGAATCACTTGCACTAGGGGTGAGCAAAAAAAAACGAACCGACCAAAACTGAACTGAAAAATCGGTTAAACGAATTGGTCGGTTCGGTGTTTTTTAAAAACCGAAGGTACTGGTTCTGTTTCGGTTAACCAATATAAAAAACCGGCGGTTAACCGAACCGACCGGTATACATGTTTTTCTATATATTTTCTATATATTATGTATATTATATTATATATATTATAAATTAATAAATATGCATTATATAAATATATATATATATATATTTATAATATATTATATATTATTTATTAATTAAAATATAATATTTTATATATATTTATAATTTTTTATTATATATTTATATATATTTTTATAATAAATATTATAAAAACTAAAAAACTGAAAACCGGCGAACCGAAACCGTTCGGTTTAGTTCCGGTTACCGGTTTTCCAAAAACTGGTACTACCAGTTTGGTTCACAAAAAAGGCTCACGGTTCAGGTAACCGAACAGTGAGCACCCCTAACTAGCACAGATTTCCGTGAACTTAGCTGGTCGGAACTGCACATCGTCGTGATCACCCCTTTCCGATCTGTGATGGCCTTTCCTTTTCTTGGATTTTTCCAATTGATATCCATTATTCATCGCAACTCAGAAAAAAGGAAAAAGATTTACTTGCCTCTAAAGTTTCATTCCTCTACCAATAGTATTGCTCGAATCCATGATGATGTAAAGAATAAGAACACGATGCCTTATTTTCCAGTAGAAAACAACTTGACTGATATTATTATGAGGAAGTCTTCAGCATCTCTATTCCAGGTTGAGATAGAAAACAAATAAAAATAGCATTTGTTTAATGGTCAAATTTCCTAAGCATTTTAATTTCTGTGTCAATTAGGAAGACACCAGAATATAATTTCTTTGATTCAGCCATTATAGACAGAGGTCAGGGAGTTGAAAGGAAGGCTGATTGAGATAATCAGTTGTGCATAATATGTTCACTAACCTTGTCTTCACGCTTTGAATGGGTAGGATTCTCAGTTGAAGAGCAGAGTTTTTAGAAAAGCTCTGAACAGGCAGGATTCTTAGTTGGTGCCAACTGAGAATTTCTATGGTTAATAGCTTTGGTGGATGGAGATAATGCTGAAGGTTTCTCCTTGATCTCTTGGGGATTAAGAAGTGCAGAATCACCATTACCACCAGAAGATATGAACCTTGCAAATATGCTCTCTTCTTCAGGGCTTGGAGGAAATCTTCCATCCATCTTTGACATTACCGCTGCTAAAGTCAATAAAAAATGCAAGCAATGAACTTGGTAGACCAGAGCCTAGCTGCTGTTTTTGTGACTACCCCATGTGCTGTCGGTGATGATGAAGGTAGAGTTTGAATCCATGGCTTCTGCTCTTTGACTATAGTTCCTCCGAATTCTTGAAGGGAAAAGGAAACAAAAGATTTACGTCTTTGATAATGCTTCAGAAATCAGAACCACCAAACATCTTCTTTCACCGTTACTGCCGAAATTCCGCTATCTCTGTTTCACATACAAACACACACTATAGTCCAACCAGTTCTTTCAACCTTAAAGTCTAGACTCTAGAACAGATCAAATCAGCAAGTTAGCTAGAGAGGGATATGGATAGATTGATGAAGGAAAGAAGGTAAGGGAACACAAGAAAGCTCTAACATTTAGATGGTAGAATTTTGAAAATTCAAAGAAGAATGAAGGGTAAAATAGTCTTTTTCATATTTCCATTAACGAAAACTAATGGTAGGAGGATTTAGTCAATTTTCAGGAAATTTAAGGGTACTTTTAGACAATATATAAACAGTAGGAGTAGAGTCAGTCAATTTCCTAAAACTTAAGGGTACTTTAAGAATTTTTCCCTCTTTTTGTAATTATGGTGGGTATATTAATACAAAATAGATATTTTAAGCATAAAAACATACATAGCACTAAAGTGACTTAATTTTTCAATTGTCAAATTGTTAATAGACTCAATACTCGAGTTCTAAATCTGATGTTTTCAACTCATGTTCATTTCCTATCCAAGTAACAACATACAATTCTTACTTCAACTATGCAATATAGAATTATAGCTTGCAAAAAACAAAACTCTAAGGTCCAAAATGCAATCAAAAGGCTCTAAATCATCATCTTCCAAAGAGCAAAGGCATCATCTGGTGAGATACCGCTCACCTCGGAAGCTCCTTCGAGGGTGGCTTAACCTCCTGAAACAGAAGATGGAGAGGAAGAAGGGAAGGGAAGGTAGGAAAAAGAGGGACTCAATGAGAGAAAAGCAAAGGGATATTCATTCACACCTTTCATTATATGAGTATGGCCTTATATAGCTGGCCTACAGGTGTAATCATAGAGGGAATACCCTCTGATTTGTAGGATAACTAACTCTGGAAAATATCATGGAGGGAATATCCTCTGGCGGCAGAGTAACCAACTCTGAGTGTAACTAATTCTTGGGCTCTGTCGCATGTCCTTTCTGCCTCCTTGTGAACTGCTGGTGGGTGGTGGTCTGCTCCACTCCCATTGTTGGGTTCGGGGAACGTATTTGGGTCCCAACAATTCCTCCCTCCTTAGCATTGACCTTGCCCTCAAGGTCTAGGTTCGGGAACCTCTCATTCAGCCTTAGATAAGGTTCCCAAGTGGCGTCTTCTGGAGGCAGCCCGGCCCATTCTACCTTGGCTTCT